TGACATATATATACTTAGGAATACCTGTGTGAACATATGTATGTATACAAATAATATACCTTCGCCCACGTGTACATATGCACACACAGGAAAACCTCTGATGTCCTTCCACCCTGTGGCAGATGTTACAAAACATGGAACCAAAATACAGAGTAAGTATATTCCTTTCCTGGCCCCTTGAAGTCAGGCTTGGCCCTCCGATTCAAGGTGGCCATTGAAAGAAGAGTGGAGGTGGTGTGTGTCACTTGCAGCCAGAAGCACCTAAGAGGCAGTGCTCGGTTCTCCAGAAGCTCGTGCTGAGATGGAGGTGCCCTAGATGGAAGCAGTCTACACTGGGGGTACATCTCCAAGAGTTCCCACACCTAAAGCAGACTTGATTTGAGCAAAAAATATCCTTGCTGTGTTAAGGCACTGAGATTTTGTTACTGTGGCAAAACCTCCTGCTTCCTGGTCATTGCAAACCTTGAATACAAGGCCAAAAGAGAAGATACTGAAACGACCTGGCTGTGGCCCAAGGTCACCATGGGAGTCGAGGCCATGGGTTGAATCTAGGACTCCTCTCCCCCAGCATTGTTCTCCTCTCCCTGCAGCACTCTGTACTCCTTACTACAGTGGATACACCCCCATGCAATCAGGAAGAGCTAGAGGGTGAATCATGAAACAGTTTTGTACACAAGTTTAAAAACATAAATTGTTCACCATTTTACTATCTTGCAAAATCTTCCCTACTTTACCTGTCAAACCAGAGATGGATGTGATGGCAAGAAGTCTCAGTAAATTGCAACATTAAGTAGCGTCACAAATAATCATTCTTGCAAACAATCCAACAGACCTGAGACTTGAATAGGCTCTGGGGTACCTGAAAATATTACCAAAGCAGTGAAAGACATATATAAAGGTGTTTTTTAAAATCCCAAATTATTCACCAATGTTAGTGAAATATGAAAGTGAGTAGTTAATAAAATTGTCAACATTTTGAAAGGGCTGTGAAATATCCTTACTACGTCTCGTTCTTATGCCTGCTCACAGAGCAGTTTTCCCTGTTCTCTCCCCTGCAGGTCTGCATAAAGCAGACGAGATCCATCTTTCATCCCCTTAGAGCCCTGGGATTTATGGGATCACAGATATCTAAACACACATTCTGATGCAGTGGCTACCAGACCCAGAACTTGAAGGTGAGAAGTAGACAGAAGAAAGGGTGTAATCCTGGATATATGTTGTGGGTTTTTTTGGTTTTTTTTTTTTTTTACCCCTGATAGGTAGGTTGCCAAAAAATTTTAACTTTCTCCACTTGGACAAGTTTAGGAAAATATTTGTGGCTTCTGGAGACCATAAATAGGAGAATTACCATAACTTTATTCTAAAGACTTTTAAGATAGTGACAGCACCAGTAGAATAGCTCACTGGAACTAGGTGGAAATGATCCCCTTTCTGATTGAATCAAAGAGCTACAAAGAACTGAACCATCCCCAACTCCGACTCTTAATTGTCAAGGGAGACCTTATGTGAGCACGAAGTCTTGAATGATGGTCGAATCAGCTCTCAAAGGCCAAACCCAGAGCTTGGAGCACCTTTGAGGGGCACAGAATTCATGGTACATGCGAACACACTTTGGAGACAGGATGGGGGAAGCAGAGTGTGCTCTGGCAATAATTACCGTGCTACACCAGACACGCTGCCCGGGCAAGTCATGGGGTGTCGCTCTGTCGATGTGTGCTCACACAAGAGGTTGCAAACACAGTTATCTGCCAGATCCGGGCAGGTAACACACTGGCCCCAACAGGCGCTACCCATCTACATGGACCACCTGCTGCTTCCTTGCAGACAACTGTTCCCCTGCTTGAATCCCACCTACAGCTGCCAAATCTTCCTATTTAAAAAAGAAAGAAAGAAATCAATATTTATATGTGTACGTTTCAATTTCCAAATGTTGCCCACAAATTGAAAAACTCAAAATATCACAAAGACCAAACAAATTCTCATAATTTTCGCTGGGAGGTCACCAGTATTTGGCCTCTTTCTTGGGAATGGAAGAGACATGTGCTTTTGCACCAAGGAGTAAAGAACAGGAAGGCGTATGCAGTTTCAAAATTAATGAATTAATCTCTTAATTAAAAATGGTAACAGATGAAACACCACCCTTTTCCTACCCTCTCAAACGGCAGTGTGGAGGCTCTGGGGGCTCAGGTTGCCCCTGATTGACTGATCTGGTGGCTGGGCCTCTTGCCTGGAAACTAGGGGTGGGGGAGGGGGAGAGAAGCATTCCAGGCAAATGGAACAGCCAGTGTAAAGACTTTGGTGTGAGTGTGGCCCCTACTCAGTTGTGAAACATGAAGGCCAGGATTGATCGAAAGTAGTGACAGCCTGGAGAGAGTAGCAAAGGGGAGCCAGAGCAGGGTGTGGAAGCCCACTGTGCCTTATAAGGCCACCGTTAAGAACCGGCTTATACGTGATGGCAATTGAAGGAAGTGTTCTAGGCAGGGGAGTTACATGATCTGACTTGTGCCTTCCTGGGATCATTCTGGCTGCTGTGTTAAGAATGAGCTGTAGAGGACAAGGATGGAAAGCCTAGGCAAGAGATAACTGACTGCTTCAACCAAGGTAGCAATATTCTGCAACACATTAAAAAACAAGAGAGCAATAATACAGAAAAACAGAAAGAAGTCAGAAATTTCTCTTCCCAGTATATTTATCCCTTGCTGCTAATAAAATGCAGAAGCCAGAAATTTTTCATTCTCATTTTCTCTCATCTAATACCAGTCTTAATTATGTCCTATTAAAGTCAATGCTTGAGCTACAAGGCAACCATCTATGAATGTATATATTTCCTTCCCCTCTGGTTTGCAGAACTCCTGATCAATGAACATATTTCATGCAAACAAGAAGAAATGTGAGGGACTCGGTATGATACTTTGTTTCAGGATAAAGTTACTGAATTAAAAATAAATGGGGGAGCGCCTGGGTGGCTCAGTGGGTTAAGCCTCTGCCTTCGGCTCAGGTCATGATCTCAGGGTCCTGGGATCCAGCCCCGCATTGGGCTCTCTGCTCAGCGGTGAGCCTGCTTCCTCCTCTCTCTGCCTGCCTCTCTGCCTACTTGTGATCTCTCTCTCTGTCAAATAAATAAATAAAATCTTTAAAAATAAATAAATAAATAAATAAATAAATGGGAATGGTCGTGTTTTCCTTTTTGGTTTTAATAATCAAGGCTTAATCCAAGAAACTTGCTTACATGGATGTTTTTGTTCAGTAATCATTTGTTATCATCCTTATTGAAAGATGTAGCTTTGGATGACTGGGTAGACTCTGGAGAGATGAAATGAAGGAGGGAGCAGATGGTGAATGGGAATGGTCGGGAGAAAAAGGAGGAGAATGGGGAGTAAAAGGTCTGGAGATGGTAGCATTTTTGACCCTGGAGCAGGGGCCAAAAGAAGAAAGAACGAGCTAATGCTTTTCCAGCTGCATCTGCTGACCCCACCGGACTTACAGCTGTCCTTTCTTGTCCACACAGGTTTTGGCTGACCCAGGGTGCAGATCATTTTGCACCCTGCAAATTTTGGTGTCACCTCTGGGGAAGACCATGGGCAGGTCATGTCTTCTTCACGTCAAGGCCAGATGCTTGATGTATAAAGAAACGTCTCGTACAGGTAAATGCAGTTTGTTGAAATTCTATAAATCACAGTGAGGTTGATAATGCTACAGCATCAAACATGTGTATCTGTACACTTGCTTTCATCCTTTCCCCTGGTTCACCCTCCCTGACACCCATTCCCTCCACATTCTATCCTGCATTTTCTTTTCTGTGATTCTGGCATATACTCACCCTTCAATTGACCAGAGTGATCATCTTACCACTAAATATCACAATGATGTATTCTATGTAATTGTCATTAACCCAAATGTAAAAGGTGATACTGTCATAAATATTGCAGACATTTTTAACCAGAACAAATCCAGGGCAGTACTGGGTCTATTCTCATTCTGCAAATGGGTAAACAGAGGCCTGAGTCCATAAATGACTCTGCCAAGGCCACAAAGTGATTTTCGGGACAGAAGGCAGGATGACACCGAGTGGATTCCTGAATTTCACTCATTAGGAGGTTTTAGCTTTAAACTTTTCAGTGAGGCACATTTTCTGAACTTCTATTTAAATCTCAGATGTATTATTGTTTTCTCCAGAGCAATGCTGCTGGTTCCTTGTAACCCCACCCCTTCTTACCATGTTGAGATACATTATTTAATTTCAAGATTTCTCAGCTCTCCTCTGCGGCAGAAGAAATGGTGGTGACGACACTACAAAAATTTTTGTCCGTTCTCCAAAACCAAAATCTTACCAGTCACAGCCCCACTACTGTAACAGAATTATGTTCGTTGTTGCATACCTTACTTCTTTCGCCATATAATAACTTATTTTTACTTAACTGAAGTCATAATGACTCAGCCATTTTATATTCAGACAGTCTGTCTTAGCAGTCAATCATAAGCCTTTTTCTATTCTGTGTAATCATTTCAAGCATTTGCTTCTGATTAATACATATCAATTTGGAACACATATGGAAACTACTGAAATTTGTTGAAAAGAGTATCAGCTATAATCTGACTGCCCTCGGAAAACTGATGCATTTTCCCAGTCTTCATACGTATACTTTGTATTTTGGGAATCAGAGTTAATGCCCTATAAGCGGGTTTCTATTTGCTCCACGCCCCCTTCATTAAGCGCAAGGTGGAGACAAGGACCCAAGCCTCAGTTAACCCACAGGTGAAATGTCACGCCAGGGGCGAGAACCTAGCAAAGGCTCCGCAGAGACCGCAGTGGGCAGGAAGTCACGAGTGGCAGGGACAGCTTTCTGACCCCGCGGCGCGTCCGCCTTGGGGCGGGCCGCACGGTTTCCCGCCGCGTTGTGGGCCCCGGGGGCCGCCAGAGGGCGCTGTGGCCCCGGTGCGCGGTGCGGCGGCGCGGTGCGGACTCTCCCCAGGCTGCTCGGGCGCCGCCCTGTCCCAGCCTCCTCTGCGGGTAAACAGACATGGCCGGCGAGAGAGACCCGCAGGACGCTGCGCACAACATGGGCAACCACCTGCCGCTCCTCCCTGGTAACCTCCCGGGGCTGGCACCCGGCGGCGGGACGGGGCTAAGCTCGAGCCTTGAGCGGCGCGGCAGGGCTAGGGAGACGGGCGGCGGGGCACCGAGGCCTGCCGGGGCGCCCCGGAAAGGCGACTGCACGTCAGGCCTCTGGCCAGAGACCGGGTCCCGGCGCATCTCTCTCACGCCGGGTCGCCCCAGGCTATGGGCGAGGGTTTTGGGATTGGGGAGGGGCCTGCTCCCAAGAACAGAGACCCTCCCCTCTCTGTCCATTGTGTGTCCAGAGCTTGGCTCCAAGGAAGCGGCTTAAAACTGAGGGGGAAAGAGGGAGGGGATATGGGGGACCCGGACAGGTTAACAGCCGTTACTTTTCTTGACTTCTTCCGTTTATTAAGAGTGACAGCTAACAAATATTAAGCACTTAACCATTTCAGGGGTCCTACAGTAAGCGCTTTGCATACATCTCTCTGTTTAATCCTCCCCGCATAACTTCTCTGATCCCGATTTGGTAGGTGAGAAATGGATTAGTGGATTAGTTCAGTGACTTGCCCAAGGTGACACAGTTGCAGAGCCGGAACTGCAGTTCTAGTCCTTCAGTCAGCATAGCCTCTGTCGCTTAACCACTTCACTGCCAAGGCAGTATTGGTATGTTTTTCTCAAGGTTTGTAGCTCAAGCAGGTATAATATGCTTAGAATATAGAATATGCTCGATAGAGACTTAGGAGTGTGATCTTATATTCAGTTTTCTTTTTTCCATTATATTTCACGAAAATTTAGACCTTGGCTTTATATTAGAATCCTGGGCGGAAAAAAAAGTGTATGAATTCATTGTACAAATTTGTCTTGGAAGGCTATAGAAGTGATGCTTTTTAAGAGGTTACCAGACAAAATGGGTCTGTTAGGTGAGTTCCTTCACCTCGTGCCGGTTAGATGTTGTGGAGTTGAAAATAGGTATGATACACAGTCTGGTACTTGAGGAGGTTTATATTCTCTATGAGGCAAAAGGTAGTTGATTTAGGACCTGATAAATTAATGCTGTTATTGTCCTTAAGAGGGATTGAGGTAAAGCACTGTGAAATGGATCTGGAGACATCCAAAAGCATACACTTAGGATGGGGTTGTGGAAGAAAAGGCCTAGGCTGAGGTAGGTTGAGTCTAATTTGTTGGGGGAGCTTGAGTCTCTTGCCAGTGGGTTGAGGCTTTTTTCTGTGGGTTGCCAAGAAACAATTGTGGGTTACAGGGAGTTGCCCAAGGAAGGCTTTTCTCGAAGGATGAATTTGTCCCCTGGGAGTTTTGTGAATTGAAGGAGAAGACTGAATGCATGCCCACCATATAGAAGGGACCTTTTATGTAAAAATAAACCAGAGTCAGAGTCGGTGGTTGTTCCTGAAGCCAACCTAACTGAATTGACATGAAGGTAAGTGTGTCAGCCTTTGACTGAAGAGCTGAGCTGTTTATTTCAGAGACATCAGCCCCACTCTGAATCTGCCAGATCCAGTGTTTCAGGAAGGTTACTGATGTTCTGTCGGCATTCATGCCGGTGCTCCCGCATGAGATGAGTCATCAGACTTCACCCTGGTAGTTCCGAACACAGTGTGTGTTTTGTTGAAAAGAATCAGGAGTGAGGGGTTGTCTGGGTGGCTCAGTTGGTTAAGCAACTGACTCTTGATTTCTGCTTGGGTCATGACGTCAGGGTCCTGGGATCTAGCCCCCGCATCAGCTGCACACTCAGAGGGGAGTCTGCTTGAATATTCTCTCCCTCTTCCCCCTCCACGCTCCCATGCGCACATTCTCTCTCAAATTAATAAATACATTTTTTAAAAAAGAAAAAAAGAATCAAGGGTGAGAAAGCCCAGAGAGGTTGTAGATATAATAAAGCTTTTCTAAATCATATGAGTTTTATTTGTAAAGAAACATTGGATCACCCATAAGTCCATGTAGTATGAGTTGTTTTGAGGAGCAACACTCTGTAAATGCTAAGGAAATAGTTTAATATTTAAGATGCATAGAATCCATTTTGGCCAACAGAAACATTAACAAATAAACAACCGAGTACAGGGAAGTGGGTTTTGGCCATATTTATGAAAAAGGCGACTGTATATAAGGAAATTGATTGAGATTCTTTTTTTTCTTTTTTCTTTTTTTTTTTTTTTTTTTACTTTTGGTGAAAATTCTCTGTTTTTAGCAAAAATATGTGTGAAGTGTTAGACAACTGGCCAACCATTTAAATATAAGTTGAAATAATTATGTTACTCTTTTTGACCAATTCCTGTATCTAGGAATTCCTGAGAATTAATAGAAAGTCCAGGGCAATTACTACATTGAAAAACATTTTTTTTTTCTTGTCAGAAACCCAGCTGGAAGTAACTTGATTTAAATAGTGACATACACAAAAGAAAATGACAGTTTTGTAATGACATTTTACCTGTTTAGAAGTGTATTTGGGGCATGTAAAAGTATAGGAAATATGAGGTAAAAAATGAGATTCAGTTTTTCTAGGCCAGGATTTCTTAACCTCAACACGTTGGATTTGGGGGGCTGGAAAATTCTTTGCTGTAAGGAACTGTCCTGCCCAATGCAATCCTTATAAGATGTTTAGCAGCATCTCTGGCCTCTGCCCACTAGATGCCAGTAGGGCTCTCCTAGTTGTGACAATCAAGTATATTTCCAGACATTTCCAAATATCCCTTGAGGAGCAAAATCGCCCCTGGTTGAGAACTGCTGATCTAGGGTAGGAATTTTACCCACAGCTGGCGTTAACAGGACAGACTCCCATTTAGTAGAATAGCACCTATTTTTCTAATCTATTACTAATAACATCAAGGTTTTAAAGCAGATCGGCTTAGTTTCTACAATTTAAAAATTATGTGTGGGGAGAGTTTTCTAAGATACTACTTTAAAAGATGTTTTAAGTTCCGTGTGAGCTTTATTTTTAATTTAAAATTCCAAAACAAAATTGGAATGAAACTGATTATTGACGTTTCATTTTTTAATAGTACAGTGACAGCCAAGGAAGCGGTGTCCTGCCGTGAGAATGTTTTTGCTGGGTAGTGATGTTAACTTTTTCTATTTTAATTAAAGGGCTTTCCTTCCTTCTTTCCTTCTCTCCCTCCCTCCCTCCCTCTTTCGTTCCTATCTTCTGTAAAAACTCTTAAAATTAAGAGTTTGAAAGACGCTTAGAGATTCTCTTGTTCCTGGCTGTCATTTTTCACATGTGGAAACTAAGGCACAATCAGGTGAAGTAAGTTGTCTAAGTTAGTTACTACTGGCAAGAGGAAAGAAACAAATCTCGCACACTGAAGAATGTAAGTATTTATGTAGATACTTCCTTTTCAAGGAGAAGGGAGCATAGTCCCTCACCTCTTAAGTGTGAGTTGTGCTATGTAATTGGCTTCCAGAGAGTACAATGTGGAAAGGAGGAAAAGTAACTTTACAGTAGAGAAACCTGACAAAGAATACCTCAGGCGGGTGATTATGGTCAACATCAGCAGTGATAAGTCATATTGATCGTACGCACCCTTGATACGATGTGAGGAACACAGCCCTTAGCCCCTTGTGGTGTTCCCCCCAAGGTATATAACCTCGGTGTAATCATGAGAAATACATCAAATTCTAATTGAGGGACACGCTACAAAATGCCTAAGTAGTACTCCTCACAAATGTGAAAAAATGTGAAGGCCATTAACAATAAGGAAAGTTTGAGAAATCAGCCCCAAAGAGGCTAAGGAGACATGACAGGTAAATGTCATGTGCCAACCTGGATGGGATCCTGAAACAGAAAAAGGATAGTAGGTGAAAATAAGAAAATCCGAATAAAACGTGGCGATTAGTTAGTAGTAATGTACCCACACTGATAGCTTAGACAAGTGTACCATACTAATAGAAGATGTTAGCTTATAGGGTAAATGGAGGGGAGAGCTACAGGAAAAGGAAATCTCTGTACTGTCTTTGCAATCTCTATGTAAATCTTGAACTATTCCAAGGGAAAGAAAAAAAGTGGTTAGTGACAGAGCCCCGGCATAGACCCCAGGCTCTGGCTGCCTCTTCACAAGATGTGGAGATCACCACATGCGAGTGGTGTTTAGAAGAAGCCCTCTCATGGGCTCAGAATCCTCATGAAGGAATTATGCATTTGAAGGGGAATATTGCTTTGACATTCTCTTGCATCCATTTTTTGTTTCTCATACTCTTTTACTTTTATAGCAGAGAGTGAGGAAGAAGATGAAATTGAAATGGAAGTCGAAGACCAGGATAGCAAAGAAGCCAAAAAACCAAACGTCATAAATTTTGACACCAGTCTGCCAACATCACATACAGTATGTACTGTAACAAATCTTATACAGTAGATGCATACATATGACAGTAGATGGAGGTTCCTTACAACAAGTGACTGAGGTTAGCCTTATTGGATATTACTTCATAGTAGGAATTGTGGATGAGGACATGGGCATTTGCCAGTAAATACACATGCTTAACTCTAAACACATGCTAATTTTCAAGCGGTTTGATACTATGTCCTGGACAATTCTTTGAAAAATTGTCTTCCTCCGTATGTTTCTGCTAGTAATGGAGCTACTAAAGTACTCCTTACTCTCTGCACTACTTGGTACTAGGGTGTTAGTTAACATTCTGACATTTTATAGTTGTCATGTGTGATATTTGGACATAGAGATGTTTTTTATCTTAGTCAAAGAAAAATATTTTGAACTAAAAAATGCTCTTGAATTTGTGAGACATTCCTCAAAAGATAATAGAACTTCCACTCATTAAGAATCAGAATTAGATTTTCGTGTGGGAGGCTGATGCACTGACTTTGTTATTTAAATAAATACTTGTGTCTGTTTATATTTCTTTTAATCTGATTTGCTCCATGTTGAGTTTGTATTTTTATTACATGTCTAAAATGACAGCGTATCTGTGTTTTCTTAAATAGTATCTGGGCGCTGATATGGAAGAATTTCATGGCAGGACTTTGCACGATGACGACAGCTGTCAGGTTATTCCAGTTCTGCCACAGGTGATGATGATCCTGATCCCTGGGCAGACCTTACCTCTTCAGCTTTTTCGTCCTCAGGAAGTCAGTATGGTGCGGAATTTAATTCAGAAAGACAGAACCTTTGCAGTTCTTGCATACAGGTAAAATATTAGAATGAATTTGCTTATTAACACATTCTCTCTCATGTAGAGCCACAGCAGAGGTCAGTGTTAAAGCCAAACCTGACTATTATTTTGCATGCACAGGAGACAAGATAAGGATATGAGGTAAGAAATTTTGATGAAAAGATTGAAAGTGCAAGTTGGACTATTTTTACTGTTATTACCATTTAGATCAGACATTCACTGTAACACACAAACTTTCTGATATTTGAAACTTAATCACTTATGTCTAATGAAAATTTCTGGCATCTTATTTTCTAGCACTATCATTATTTAAAGAGAAAGAGGGCTTTGACATTTTAATGTAAAGGATTACTTTTACAAAGGAGTAACTTGTTCTTTTCTGTGTCTCGGAATTCCTGCGTTGTCCCGTTACAGGCCGGTGGCAAACTGCTATTTCAGGTGTTCTGGGGTAACCGAAGGAAGTCAGTGGTAGAGGCAGGAGATGAACGCGGGGATTTCCCACCCGACTACAGTGCTGCTAATATTAAGCAGCAGCAATGATGGTCTACTGAAGTAAAAGAATGTCTCGTTTGGAAAATGAGAGTTTAAACCCCTGTCAGTCTTAGATCATTTTCAATGACTAGAGAGACCTATTATTTTCCTAAAGAGCTCTAATTGGAATTCCTTTTTTTGTTGTTGTTGTTTTTTGCTCTCATTGTAATACTGAAGCCTTCTATGTCTGCATTCCTCATGTGATTTCAAAATAAAATGATAATAGCTTTGCAGTAGGGCTAAATGCTGTAACTTTTTTATCATGTGTATTGCTTTTGCCACTTTGCACATTTAAATTTTTTTGCCAACTTTGCATATTTAAAAATTAAATGTTCAAAATTATTTCCTTTTAAAATTTATCTTGGAAGTAATATACAGGAGAGGGAAGCACAGTTTGGAACAACAGCAGAGATATATGCCTATCGAGAAGAACAGGATTTCGGAATTGAGATAGTGAAAGTGAAAGCAATTGGAAGACAAAGGTTCAAAGTCCTTGAGCTAAGAACACAGTCAGATGGGTAAGAAATACCATGGATCTTAAAGCTATGTGTACATCATTAAATGAGGTGGTTTTCTTATATTTTCTTTCTATTGTACTGATCCTTAACATTTTGTAACTTTGAATTAGTTGTTCTCTTTCCTTTGAAGGTATAGCCTGGTGGTTTCCATCTTGGCTATGCATCAGAACCACTTAGGAAGTTTTAAAACTATAGAAGCTTGGGTTTCATTCTCATCTCCCATCCCTAAAGAGTGGTTTAACCTTGGGTGAGGCTGTAGCGTCTTTTTTTCATGATTTCCAGGTGATTCTCATGACCCTCCAGGTTTGAGAATAGTCATATAAACCCAAAGTGCATTGTCTTTGGGGATAGGGCCTCTTTGGGATTGAAGGCCTCTCTTCAGAGTGGAGAGGCCACAAGCTTCTGCGCTCTCTCTGTGTGCGCACCGGGACACCTGTGGTGTTTGCAGTATTCCTGTAATATTTGAAAACCACACCGGTTGCACCTGCCAGCTGTTCCATCTGAGCTGTAGAAGCCATTTGCAGTTAGCACCCATCTCTGGTGTGAATTTTACATCACCCACGAATGTATTAACATATAATAAGTGGTCAGTAAATGCTTGTTGTCTCTGTACCTTATAAAGTTTGGAGATTCTCTGAGTATGTTGTTTTAACAGTTATTGTGGTATGGTTCTCATGGTTCAAGCTTTTAAAGTATCACTAACCTCATCAAAAAAAAAAAAATCCAGTTTACCTTTCTTTATCCTTTTAAAAACAAAGCAAAACAAAATAAGCATTTGTTCAGATAATTGATGTTACCTCTTCAGGGAGTGGTTCTCAACTCTGGCACATAAGAATCACCTGTGATGTGTTATAAGGATACAGATTCTTGGAGTTCACCCAGTCCTAGTGAATTGGTCTCTTTATAGTGAAACTAAAAATGTTACCTGACCTCTGTTGTTGAACAGATAATATCTTATGAACACGTGGAACTTCAGAAGTGTTGTCTTGTTCACATGGTGGACATTTACAAATATCACTGAATTATGGACGTATAATGGACAAATAAAGCAACCCTTTGGGGCTAGAGAAAGCATAGAAAAATAAGGGATGAGATGCCAGAGCCCTCAGTGGTACCCCCAGAACATTCCCAGTGCAGACTCTTATGGTGTTAATACACTGTACTATCATTTTAGGATTGTATATCAGTCTCCATCAATAGATGAGCTGCCTGTATGTTCTACACGTAGAACCATTAATGCTATGTGAATGAATGAAACAGTGTGCTCCTGGGGGCTCTGCATTGTGATAATTAGCAAGCTGTTTTGTTACTGCAGATTTTACTGACAGTTCCATATTTAAAGTACTTCTTATCCTCCTTATAAAATTTTTATTATTTGTGGATACTATATTATAGGAACCATAAAAGAAAAATGACTTGGGAGAAAAGTATGTTTGTGAGGCTTTCTTCACTTTTGATTGTGGAAAAACTCTTTTCAACACAAGATGGCAGTAGACCATTAACTCTGAAAACAGGTCAAAGACTATGTTTGACTCTAATGAAGATAAACATGAAACTGATAGGGTTAGACAAGATTTGGCTTGGGAACATTCTCTTTATTATTCCATAGGCCCACTGCTAAGACCTCTCACAGTGGTGAGTCTTTCTTACTATAAAAGGCTTCCCTAGAGTGGGATTTCTCTGGTTGCTTTGCCCCTCTGGCTTATAACTCCCTTTAGTAGAAATGGTGAGATAGAGATAATATAGGGCATTTCCTCTTTTTCCAAATAAGACAACTAAGTACTAGAGAGATGAAGTGATTTGCCCAAATTCATGCAGCTAGTAAGCAACAGTTGGTTGATTCTAGGTCCCCTGACTTCCAAACTTATGCTCCTCTTACTCTACTTGAACTCCCTCCATAGCACCTTGAAACTCAAGCCAGTTTCCTTTTCTCCAGTCAAGTAGTGCTAGATAATAGTCACATTTCTTTTATGTAAATGACCCTTCATTTAAAAACTATATAGCACTGCTTTCTGGCCTCTTCTGAGTTAGGAGTCTTTATTTCTTCAGCATTTTCTGAACACATGGAAGGTTTTTTTTTGTTTGGTTGGTTTTGTTTTTTTGAAAAGTTAATGATAAAGTAGAAGTGTGTCATTGAATCACCATAGAACCCTTCAAAAATTCCTGAGTATTCCTTAGCATGTGGAGAGAAGGAGATTAATACCCTATTGGGAATTACAGGACAAGTTCTCTTACCTGTCATATCCAAAACCAATAATCAATAATTATCTGAATTACTAGAACTGTCTGAACCTAATTTGGAAGCAGTTTTTATTGCTCAGCTTTATTCATTAAAGCCATTTTATTTAAGTCATATTTCATTGTTTTTTTTATATTACTTACATAAATTATGTACCTATAATCACAAAGCAACTGCTATATACAGATTGGAAAGAAAGAAAAGTAGATTTGTTTAAAACAGAACCCACCAGGTGGGAGAACTAGCACGTGTGTGCAGCGGACCCTGGGAATGTCTAGCAAAAGCAGCGGAGAGCGTTGCTCAGCCCTGCAAGGCAGTTGGGACAGCTGGTACTGCAGACTAATCAGTAAAAGGATCAGAAAGCCGATCTTTCAGTAACATTGATATTTTTATCATAATACAATAAAATCTTACATGATAGTTGAGTTAAACATCATTCATTATTTAGTTGCTGATGACCTTCAAGAAGACTCAGATTTCTAAACATTTCTGTAGAATGGCACACACTTTGTTTTTAAAAATAAGATTTGTGTTCATGTGACAGCTGAAGAGATTTTTTTTGTTGTTTTTAATGACCTCTAATAATATGAGAACAATTTGATTATAGTTTGAACATGTTTGTTTTTTTTTTAAAGATTTTCAGAGGTCATGCATACATAAATTTGAGCTTGCAGGAGGGAAATAAAATAGTGGAATGAGTCTAACCAAGTTAGCCATTTTCATTTAATAAATAAGTAGAAGTATCAAAATTTCACTACTAACTTTTTGTGGGTCAAGGCAGTGAATAATATGAAAAACCACTTGAGAATTTCTAAACATAATTAATAATAAAGCAGAAACTGTAATACATTGAACTTTGTCAGTCTGATAGTGATTTGTTCCAGCATTCGAATGTACTAATACATTCTGCATTTCAAGAGCCGTACTCTAGGAGAAATGCTTCAAAAGAAAATAGCTCATAAGTACAGTATTCCTGTTGGCATTTCTTCATGATGAGATGTTTGTGGGTATGATATTCTCAAGTAGTCTGGAAATGGTGACTTCACTCTCATGGGAGTTTAAGTAATTTTTAGGTAAGAAAAGATAATACGCATATTTTGATTCTTTGCATTTTCAGGTTAAATGTTTGAGGAGGAGAAAAAAGAATGCACATATCAATACAGAGTACATGTAATTCTGTAGTCTTATTTTAACTATCCATAAAAGTGGGTTCTTATTTTCTATTCCTTTCTCTACCTATTCTTCCAGTTAGATTAGACTTAGGAGAAAGGACAGGTGTAAAAGCCAGGCAGCAGATGGGGATCTGGGAGGGATTGTAGGGTATTTAAGAATGTCTAAGAAACTAATTTAGAAGTATCAAGCAGTAGTAGATGGTTGTAATTTGATTTTTTTAATTTCGTTTCATCAGTAGACTCTATATTTATCTGAAATATACAAATCTCCCTTTACATTTCACAGTGAGATTGAAAATCTATGCTTTAGGTTATCTTTGATTTTAACATTGGTATAATTTCTGGAATAAAGTATTTCTGAAAATTCTTGCATCTTAACATCAGTATCCTATAGATATGTTTAAAAAAGAAAACTGAAAATCTTAGTTTTTAAAATTACCCATAATGTTTAGAAACTTAATAGTTTGAGTTAGTTTATTTTAAAAATGAACACCATGCTTGGTTCTCTTTATTTTAGAATCCAGCAAGCTAAAGTGCAAATTCTTCCTGAATGTGTGTTGCCTTCAACCATGTCTGCAGTTCAGTTAGAATCCCTCAATAAATGCCAGATATTTCCTTCAAAACCTGTCTCATGGGAAGACCAGTATTCATGTAAATGGTGGCAGAAATACCAGAAGGTGAGAAACTGACTTTTTATGCATCTTCAAAAAATGAAGACAGGTTGTTTTTTTTCCTGTATTTAAGAAAGGAACACAAACAGCTCTCCTGATTCATTCCCCAGACACCTTCTGTGGTAATACTCTAGCTGCATTTGATCAAAGCTAGAGCTTCTGAAAATTTCATGGGCAGCCATTTATGTAAAAGCAGTTTGCAAAAATAGTAGAATGTCACAATTCTGTAAGGTGTTCTTGCTGCTATGCCTGTCAGTTGTATATTAATTAATAGTTTGTGATTTTTAGTTCTGGAGAAATCTCTTATTAAATCTCTTACCATCAGATCAGATGTTTGGCTCTTGAATTACAAGCACATTATCTTAAAGAAGCGTTTCAAGTAGCGCATAGTAGTCATGTGTTTCAATTTTTCTGGACTTCTGAAAGAAAAGGTTTTTAGCTGTCTGTTTATACATTGTGGTTGACACCACAAAAGTTGGCTTGAGACTATGTGCTCTGTTAAAGCATTGGTTGTTTCGGCATTAGTTCTTACACATATCCTTTTGGCTAGATCACTCTAGAAAATAATTGATGAAGCCTGTTTCTACTCATTTTTGCGATGTATCAGTTTTGAGTATACAATTCCTGCCTAAAGGAAATGACTATCCACTTTTAAATTTAGGAAGTACAGGTTCTTTGAGGTTTATCTTTTTAAAATATGGAGATAATTTCTATTTTAACCTGAAAAATTGTGCACTAATCACCCCTATTCTTTGTCAAGTCATGCAGGTTTTAATTGTGAGTAAATTACCATAGGATCCTGATTTAATATCAGTATAGACAACTGAAAAAGGAGTATTCTGCACTAGTCCATGTACCACCACTTTTAATGTTCTTGAGGTCGAGTTCATCTAGTTTTCAGAGAGGGCCTTGTGAGAATGGCTTCTTGGCAGGCAGCAGGCTCGTAACCAGGTGTCTGTAGGCTTCTTGATCTTGTTATTCTGTTTCTCAGTTGGACAATTAGAGACATGGTTTTGTGTGTTTTAACAAGTGTTTCTAGAAAGAATCTAATAAATGTTTAGATTGCTTAAGGAGTCCCATGCCACCTTAACACTAATATTTTTGAAGATTTAAGAAATACTGCCTTAAGTTTGCAGGCAACTTTTGTATAGTTAGGCAGTCCTTCTTTTTTCAAACCTGATAGAGACATACTTTCACCCCTGTTTTAGTTTAATGGTAGAACAGTGGAAGATTTTGTCCCCATGGTCATTTTAAATATCACTTGAAATAAGTATGTCAGAGTCAGCTCTGAGGTACATGGGCTCCAAGGAAGTAGCTTTGGAATTTATTAAGTTGTTTAATGCCTAATAGTGTGTTCAGCACCGGGTGCTGGTGTGATGTTATGTGGCGAGGAAACTGCATCAAGATGCTGCCTATTTATCGTATTTAGATAGTTGCATGTTTCAACCATGGGCTTGTTTTTTAGGAGATATCAGGTGTTTTGATTTGTATCATTCTTCTGCACTAAGATTGGTTGTTAAAAATTAACTATGAAAAAATCCCAATTTTTCTTTGTAAAGTGGTAAGCGTAGGGTGTGACGGTCATTCATTCCTGGCTTAAGTGCTCCATGCTGGCTGTGTGTCCTTGTCTATGGGATCTTGCCATCTTAACCCTGATGAGTGATGAGTTAAATTATGAGTTAAACAAATAAGACTGCTTTTTTATTCTAATTTTTGTATGAATTACTGATTGACTTCCTGTCCTGTGGCTAAAGCACCTTAGCTTGTTCACAGTAAATTCCGAATTAGGCCTTTGCAGCAGGGCTGCCACTGGCTTACCACAGGCAAAGAGAGCCAGACATGAAAAGACCAAGGAAGCATGTTTCTTTGGAACCAGGTCCGTTTTTCCCCTCTTGTCTTACTTCTATAATAATAATAATAATAATAATAATAATAATAATTCTAGACCCTCAAACATTAGCACTCGGTTACTTTCATGTTCAGAGTTGCCAATGACTAAACAGAAGGTGCTAAGGAAGAAGAGAGGCATAAAAGGTTTTAGGTTTAGGAAATACAGTTCCTTCATCCTGTGTGTATTACAGATTGTTAAATGTGTTCCCTTGCTTAAAATTTGAGTAAGGTTTGTTAGTCCCCATGTGCTGGTCCTGTCTCTGGTTTGGCTTACCACACCGCTAGCCAGGTGCTAACGTACCACAGGACTAGATCGCATGACACCACTTGTCTTTAGATGGATCTAAGGCTCAAGGCACTCTTCTTCATAGAGTTTATTCACATCTGCCCCATACTACCCACCAGCATCTTGAGCAGTGCATCCGTTTTTCTTCCACATCTGAGAAGTAGGTAGTCAGAATTGGAAGATGCTCGTGTGATTCTAAGCCAACCCAAGCTTACCAAATTGCCCCACCTTTTTAGCAGAAATGGTATTTCGAGGGTCTCAGAGTGTGGCCTTCCTGATGTATATTCAGTGAACCTTGAAACTGCACACACTTCTCCACATTTGCCATTGAGAACTGCACATCCCAAATGACAAAGAATTAAGCTTCCACAAGTATTCCTGTGTCATCGTGCACTCCAGCAGGGCAGCATCAGAGAAGATGTCCCTAATCCGTAAGGAGTTCAGCCAGGATAATCAGGGAACACTCTTCCAGAGTTCATTTCCATCTGGAAATGTTCCTTGTTCTGTGATTTGATCTTTGAAACTAATGTTTACTTATTTCCTATCTCAGTGCCTTTCACCCCTCCCTGGGTTTCTTGTAGTGGGGACTCAGCGAGGAAGCGTTTCTTTAACCTACTCGGGGGTATGACGTACACGTTTTTAAGTACACTCCCTCCTTATCCAGACTGTCTCTTCATTCCTTTATTACAGCCCTACTGCGTTCATCAGAAAAGAGTTGACTGTGAAATGTAAAAAACTGAAATGTGGAAACAAATTAAAGTGTTTGATGCTCATCTTTCCAGTCTTGCTAAATTTATAAGCCATGCTCATATGGAACAGGGAAGAACTGAACACTGACTGATTCCCAAGAACAAAGCCCTCCAATGCAGGCTCACACATTGGTTTCCAAGTCTGCCATACTTTCTCTGTGAAGACACAGATATTCTCATTTTGTTCTGTTTTCTTATGTGAAAGATACACTGTCCCGGTCCTTGTTCTTTAAATAGGAGATTTTCTGTATTGGCTTTTGGAACACAGCTTCCTTGTTACTGCCAGAGCTGCAGTGTTCTCTGGTGTGGCTGCACTAGCCTGTGTCTAACCAGTCCCCAAAGATGACCGTGTACACTGACCCTTCATACACATAAATATGTATGATAAATTCTGAGACATGGGATTATTGGAGTACAGGGAAGCTGCATTTGTAATTTGGACAGATATTTTCAGACTGTCTTACTGAAGGTTTTTCCTAAGTGTACCCTGGTATCAGCTTCACAGTGTAGTGTTCAACTTAGTTTTTGATGATCTGATAAGTAAAATACAGAATCTTGTTGGAGATTTAATATGAATTTCTTTGGATACGAATGAGGTGTAACATTTTGTGTTGAATGGCAATTCGTATTTTCTTTACTAGGAAGCATCTGTTCATTGTATTTGTCCTTTGTAGATTTTTAGTTCATCATGTGTCAGGAAACTTACCCTTTGTCTGTACCTAATAGGTTTCAAGTATTTTCCCTGGTTTGTGACTTGTCTTTGGCATATTTTAGAAAGGTTTTTTTTTTTTTGTCCTTAGGTAATTGAATTTACCTTTGTTAATGCCTCTGTATTCTGAATTATATCTAGAAATTACTTCCCCAGAGGAATCTTGTAAAAAAAAAAAAAAATACTAAAAATGTCATCTTTTACTCTTGATTGTTGATTTCATTGCTTTTAATGAAATCAAAACTTTTAAGCTTTTATCCATGTATGGTTTATCCTGCTATGAATTCAGTTCTGTTTTTTTTTCCTGATGGCTCCCTATTGTCCTGTTAGCATTTTCTGAAAAGCTCATAATCTCCTTCACTGCTATGACCGGATGTCATGTAGACCAAATTCATGATTCTTCATTTTCTTCTGCTTTGTTGTCAGTCTCCATAATACTGTTACAGCCGTTGACAATTTATAATTTTTATAAATATAAATATAACTGGTAACCCCCTTGCTGGTCTTCTCTTTTTTCAAGGTGTTTGTGGCTACTGTTGCTTTGCCTTTTCATAGGAACTTAAGAATCTGTTTTTGTCTTGTCCCAGAATAATAATAGGGGCAGTAAAACAGTAACACCCATTGCCTATTTTTATAGTAAAGAAGAAAAAAGTCTTGAAATCTTAGGCTCTGCGTGGTCAGGCACTTCCGTGGACAGATTTGTGATTTCCCAGGCATACATCTTATCCTTGTAGTTGTGTATCTGCTTTGAGGAGTTTAGAACTCTCAGAGCAGGAAAGAATATATCCTTCCATTCCCCTTTTTTCATTCAAGTAGGGATTTGGTAAATGAAGGAAGGAAAAAAAAAAAACTAGTAGCTTTTGAATTGCTTGGATAGATTATTTTATTTGCATTGCTGATCGTGATGGGATTTAACACAATAAATGACCACCTTTGGTTACTGTGTATATCAGTGATGATGATTTACTATTCATGTTTAGCCTTTTACATTACTCTTCCAATTTCATTGTACTTCAAAGAACCATTTAAGTGGAGTTTCACATTTTTTTAAATATTCCACATTATTGGAAGACAAAGGTGGAGCTATAGTTATGAAGTTTAAAAATGAAGAATGTGATGAATTTCCTTCAGGTAACAGATATTTCATTCTAAGGGGCTTTCTGCCTTCTTTCAGTAGTTAATCCTGTTCTCAGAGTGACTACATCTTCTCTAGATAGTCAGTGGTCATTTTTAAGCACCTAACTTATGGGCTGGTATTAAAACTTTTTTGAGGTATAGCCCTTTTAAGAAGTAAGTCATGGTGTTGATATATGTGAAGAATGCCAATAAATTGCTAGAACTTACCATCACTATTACCCAGATACAAGACAGGAGCCTCTGCTTATTGTATCAGAAGTCTAAATTGGACTTGAAATTGGAGATATTGAAATGGCCTAAATTTGGGCATTATTCGCTGTGTATAAGCTAGCTGGTCTTTTTTGGTGTACTTCTCTTCAGTTTGTATAGTTGACTGTATAAAACACATCACAAATATGAAGGATAAATATATTTAATTGATCTATGATTAGAACTTTAGAGTCTGTCACGATAATTCTGATAAAGAATTTTAATGGCTTTCTCACTGTAAAAAGGTACAGAACTGAGATACCTGTGTTGCAGGCTGGTCACATTCACCAAGCACACATGGGCAGTAGGGCATGTGGTTACCATCCTGACCCGCTGCTCTGCTCTCAGTAGACTAGCTGGCCATGCTCTCTGGTCGCCTTATGTTCTTATGGGAAGGAATGTTTGTAGATGAATAAATTGGTTTGGCTCCTATCTTGACATGAGTGCCAAATAAAATTATATGCTTTTGTATTACAAAAATGATCATTCTCCCATCATTCTAAGCGTAGGTTAGTAACTGAACGGGGAGTGTGTAGTGTGTGTCAGTCAGCCACACTGAAGCTTTGCTGGATTTTTGTCATTTTGTAATTCTGAGTATACCACCAGAAAGTAAGCTTCTCTGCACTAAGTATATGCTCCACAGGACAAGAATTTTAGTCTTTGTTTTAATCCCAGGTTTACCCCAAATGTGTAAAGATAATTAATGCCTGACACATACTGGGCGCTCAAAATATTTTTTGAATATTTGAATAATGGTTAGTCATACTCCCTGGATGCACAGTCTAGCAGTCCCCATTTATGAGCTGTGACCTTGGGCAAGTTTTACCTTCCTTCCGTGCCTCTGCTTCCCTGTCTTTGGAACGTGGATGCTAATGCTACCAAACTAGAGAACTTCTGTGAGACACATACAGACATAGACGCCTCTGTTGTTATTGAATAGTCAGGGTTGCCTGATACGCTGCTTTAGTGTGTTTTTATTTTGTGTGTTTATTCTCTAGTATTTATTTGTACTGTGATCAAAATCCTTAGTCTTAACTTTTTTTGGCTTAAACATAAAGAACTGATTGGAGAGTAACTTAAGTGTCTTATGTTCTGGCTCCTCTGGCTTAAATTACTTTTTAAACATGTACTTGGAGGCCATCCCAGACCTATCTTTTGGTAGCTTCAAATACAAGAAGGATTATATTGAACCAAAAATTCATCTCATTAAAGAATCCATTGGTTCATGAGCCTTGAAAAGTCTATCCTCATCCATGTAAGTATTTCCCTAAAATATTTAAAAATAATTATCATGTCCCCTTGAGAGGCAGCTCCAAACTGAACATCTGTAGAGCAAACTCTTGACCTCCTCCTAGCATCCTGGTCCCTGACAATTGAGGTTCCCATTTCTGACTGTCACAGAAGGGGAACATTATTGTCTCATCTTAGATTCTGGACTTCTTCAAGCACAGGATTGCAGAAGAGGGTAGGATATGAGCTCTGCAGCACATTAGTTCATAATTATCAGCTAAGTCCCAAGTCTTTCCTACATGTATCGTGTACCTTCCCCATTTCACATTCATTTGGTCTTGCAAGTACAAGCATAGGATCTCCCTTTCATTTTGTTAAGTCTTAAGAGCTTGCTTTGCTTGTTCTACTATGGGACAGTCTGTGTTGAGCCACCTTCCTCCTTTCCCACCCACTTTTCATGTGTCATACCCAATGTCAGTTAACAGTCTACAAAAGTATGAATAGCTGTACCTCTGTAGGTTTTGTTTTCTTTATTGAGAAAGATGTAATCATTCTTTATTCTCCTCGGGTTTGATAGGCCTTGCTTGATCAGGTGCAGTATATCCTCTCCTGTATACATACACAAGAATGTATTACATTGTTCCTTGACATTTAGGTTGTCTCCAGTTTGTTGCTGTTAACAGCACTACTGCAGTGTATTCTCCCAATCATATTTTTGTGTCCTATAAAACACCTTGTTTTCCAGACTTTCTTGGTAGGTTTTATACATTTATTTTTCCAAATGAACTTTAACTTATGCTTCTTAATTCCAATCATGTTGGTATTGAGGACTGACATCTTAGTGATTATTGAGCCTTCTCATCAAATGTAGAAATTCTACTGAAATTTAAGTACAGTTCACATTTTTCTATGGATTTAGGCACACTCTCATTTGGATTCCAAAATGCTACAATTGGAAGACATACCCAGTGCTTTTCCCCTTTCCTGAATTCTGTTAAATGGAGACTTAATCATGCTGAGTCTCAAGTGTATGATCATTGTTTTCTTTGAATTGCCTCATTTCTTATGTTTGCCTCTTGGTAATTCAGTTGAAAGCCATTTAAAGTTTTACACAAAGACCATTTGGATGATATTTTGACTGCACATACTGAACCAACAAATAATCAATAGTATAAAAGCAGGTAATGTGGTCAACAGAAGTATGTTTAGTCACTCTTCAAGTTCATCTTAATTTTACTAAGTTTGCTTGGCACTGAAATTTCATGAACTTTGCCAGTAAGAGTGATGATTCTAGGGCGCCTGGGTGGCTCAGTGGGTTAAGCCTCTGCCTTCAGCTCAGATCATGATCTCAGGGTCCTGGGATCAAGTCCCACATTGGGCTCTCTGCTCGGCAGGGAGCTTGCTTCCCCCCCTCTCTCTCTGCCTGCCTCTCTGCCTACTTGTGATCTCTCTGTCAAATAAATAAAATCTTAAAAAAAAAAAAAAACATGATTGTCAAATTTAATAGAAAACCATCAGATACCGGGTTATCTACAAAATGTTCCATATTTTTGAAAGTAAAAATTTTTTTCCAGGGTCAAAATTAATTTTCAGGTTATTTTTCTTTCCACTATAAGAATCTTTATAGAGTTTCTTAAGTGACTTTTTTTTCTGTTTTCAGAGAAAGTTTCATTGTGCAAATTTGACTTCATGGCCTCGCTGGCTATATTCCTTATATGATGCTGTAAGTATTACCTTGTACTTTTTTCTGGAGTAAGCCTTTTCATAATTAAGGGTCATAGTCTTTCATACTCAGTGGTATCTCATTTTCAGAACTAATCCAATCTTTTACATTTAGGTAGAGCACGAAGGAATCAGATACTACTGAATTCACTTTGCCTTTAATCTACAGAATTTTTCATTTTCCTAGTTTCTAGTGGCTTATAAATTTAAGACAGGATGAGACATTTTTGGGGTCTACTAAGGATTTGAAATGTGGTGAGCATAGGTAGATTTAGAAAATTAAAGAATCCCGTAAATTACTTTGGTTTTTTTCCCTATATGAAAATATGAACTTCTTATCTCCTGATCCCCAGTTAGTCCTCTACATCCTCAAGTGTTTTGCTTCTCAAATTGTAATACTTAGGCATCACCATGCCTTTCAAAACTTAAACTGGAATTGTTCAAAGAATCTGGGTTTTAGACACAAAAGACTGTGTTTGAAGCTCTTCTATCGTTTCCTCTGTGGTTGGGGCAAATTACTTACCTAAATAATTGGATTTTAAAAATGGGAATAATGATAGTTACTGTACTTGGCACATAGTAGGACATTCAACAAATGTTAGTCATTTCCCTTAGTGAATCATCTCATGCACAGATGTGGAATCTTGCTTCAGAAGACTAAGCACTGAAGGTTGAACACTTATCGCAAGCACAACACTAAAGGAAACTACAGTTCACTCTGTCCTGCAGCAGCTTTGGGCCATTACAGATAAACAAGTACTGTTCGCGTACATTTGTGAAAAGATAGTATGCACTGTTGTTTACTAAAGAGGTGCCAAGTAAGGTATGTAGGTAGCAAGTGCTCGTGAAGTTTATAGGAGCCACTGTCCCTACGAACAGAGTCAGAAAAGCCATCCTAGAAAGGGGGAGAAGAGAGGCCAGTTCCACACAGTTGATCAGAGAACACCTAGAGGACAACAAGTCAGGAGCCTATGCCACTGGGAAAAGACAGTGGAGGAGAGGGGCCTGGAAAGCCAACTTAGTGCTGGGCCCATGCACTGGGGCTTTGGTCATCCGAGCGTAAGAAAACAGACACTCTTAAACAGGGATTCAGATTTTAGTACAGTGAGGACTTAAGCTGCTACTAATACATTAGTTTTATTTTATGAGTTGAAAATCTGGCATTAAGTTCTAAAAAGTCTGTGAACCTTATTATGGCTGCTTTTATTTTAAACAAGGAAACTTTAATGGATAGAATCAAGAAACAGCTGCGTGAATGGGATGAAAATCTAAAAGATGATTCTCTTCCTTCAAATCCAATAGGTATGCAAAGTCTACTTCCTTCCTATGGCCTTTGATGTTTTAGTAAATCATTTTTCTGTTTAATATTTTTATTCATTCAAAACATTTGTTTTGAGCATTTTAAAAAAATGAGTAGTTAATTGTAACAGAGTTCTTCAGTTTTGTGAGCAGTCTAATCTTAAGCAGTTTTCCTGTTAAGTTCAAATTGCAGACAAGATCAGGCATGTTCAGGGTGTTATGGCCATAGACCAAATTGCAGTAAATGGGGCACATTCAAAAACTTGAGTGTCAGGACTCTCCCTGTTCTTTAAGGTGGCTTTCAAAAGGACCCTAGTTCTAAGACTTATTTATCTTACGTACATATAATCTCTCTGGTTATTAGGTACAATTACTATAGCCATCTTTCTAGTCTTGTAGCAGATTGACTTCTTATATCATGGGTTTGATTTTCATGTTTAAAAGATCAAAAAAAAAAAAGTGTTAATAAAAGAAACCCAAACTCTGGTGCGCAGCTCTTTGGAGCTTGCCACTCTCACTGCAATAAACTTTCCCACCTATATTGCTCAAAATAAATAAAAGACATTTCTAAAAAACCAATTATGGGAAAAGAAATTAATTTTGGAACTTCCTAAGAATATATACTCAATAGCTAGTGTATTTTAGTATTGTTTATAATTATGTCTGGTACATTCTTTGGGAACTCTGTAGAGAGGGTTTATTTTAAAAAGACATTATTGTATGATTCATATCTGCTTCAAAAATTTAAAACTTAAAAAACTACCATGTCTTTAAGATTTTTCTTACAGAGTAGCTGCTTGTCTTCCTATTGATGATGTATTAAGGATTCAGCTCCTTAAAATTGGTAGTGCCATCCAACGACTTCGCTGTGAACTAGATATTATGAATAAAGTGAGTAAAGTTACCATGTTCATGACACCCATATTTTAGGCTTGATTATCTATGGGACCCAGTCGTGTAGTCATGCAATTAGAAAACTAGTTGTTTGCTAGTTTTACATGATTTATTTTTTTCAAGTTTTTAATTATTTATTTGAGAGAGAGAGTGCCCTAGAGAAAGACAGCAAGCATAAATGAGGGGGGAGAGGGGAAACAGACTCCCCTCTGAGCAGGGAGCCCAACGTGAGACTCTGTCCCAGGACCCTGAGATCATGACCTGAGCCGAAGGCAGACACTTAACCAACTGAACTACCCAGCCACCCCGCTAGTTTTACATGATTTAAAGGATAATTTAGATATTTCATTTGGGATCATACAGACACTTAGACTGTTTTTACATCCCTCAAACACTTCCATTTCTACATAAAGCATTTGTGCTTATAAGTATCTATTACTTTTTGTCCTACAAAGTCAGTAGTTTTATAAGTGAGTATGTGTCAGATCTCAGAGGTTTTCTCAGTCCTGCTTTAAAACTCTGTTTTTGAATGGTTGGAGGAAAGCATGGTATTTAGAGGGAGCAATACTCTAGTTTCTTGATGGGCTGTGTAATTACATAATTAAACAAGTGTGAATGTCCCCCACTAATTTTCTCTTAATTTTTTTAGTGTACATCTCTTTGCTGTAAACAATGTCAAGAAACAGAAATAACCACCAAAAATGAAATATTCAGGTGAGAAATGTTCAGTATACTTCTGAATACATTTTCCCAACTGCTCTAACAGAGTTATAGTCAAGGCTGTATTCCATATCTTCCTTATTAAAAACAGTCATTCAGCAAATGCTCTATGGGAGTTTAAGAAACCCTTCCTGACTGGGTGCTCAGCAGCAGTGGTGATGTAAGATATTATTCACAAGTAACAGGCATGGTAAAGTCAAACAAAGGGGCAATTCTTTTCTTCCCCATTCCTGCTAGGTAATTTGTTTATCTTCCTAGTGATTAAGGACCTAAGATGAACGCCTCAGATAGGATCTTCTAGGCACACATAGGGCCCTTCTGAACATGTACTGATCCTGTGTGACATAAATGTGTAAGAATTACTTTAGTACAAAATGATAATTATAAATCAGGACAGTAAGGAAACTGTTGCCTACAAAGTAATCAGTTACCCAAGGATGCCTAATAGGACCTTTTCACTGTACTTCCACTCTCAGAGACTCCTTTAGATGAGCTCCATTTTACAAACATGTAGACTGAATGAAACTGGACTGACTCCCAACCTCCTGTTTACATACTAAAGGTCTGATGTTACCTCTTAGAACCTCATTAGACTTTCTCCTTTCCATTCTGACTTATCTTCTATGCTGATTATCTCTTGTAGTTTATCATTGTGTGGACCGATGGCAGCTTATGTGAATCCTCATGGATATGTGCATGAGACACTGACCGTGTATAAGGCTTGCAACTTGAACCTCATAGGCCGGCCTTCTACCGAGCACAGCTGGTTTCCTGGGTAATGTGGTGGTTACTTTTGTGGGGTGGGGAGGGGTTGCCTTAATTGGACAGAGTCCTAAGCAGAGTTGTTAGAATTATAATCAAAAATAGACAATGAGATGAATACTATTTCAATGCTCTTCATTTTATGAATGGCTAGTAACAGCTACTTTGGCACACTCTCATGAAATGTGAAGTTAGAAGGTTGCCAACTGCAGTTATCCTTAAATTAACTATGCATTTCATCCAGACTTTCCATTTTTCCTTTTAGCTCATTCTGGAAACCAGCTGGCTTATAACCCAGTAAAACTGTATCTAAACCACATTCTATAGTATGTCAAACCAGAGAGTATTTCCCAAGCAGTGACAAACAAAACAGCTGGAAAAGCCACTGAATTCTGGTTTTCTTCAATTTTTTTTTTTCTTTAGCCCAGTGCCCTTCAAAGTAGGAGCCTAGGACCAGCAGCACCACCTGGGAACTACTTAGGGTTCTTGAGAAGAGTAAGGATGAGGGAATTCTGGGTCATTCTTTGATTTTGAAAGAGGCAAGCAGAGATTTTGGGGGGGGGCACCTGAGTAGCACAATTGGTTAAGTGTCTTTTAGTTTCTGCTCAGATCATGATCTCAGGATAGTTGAGATCAAGCCCCACGTTTGCTTAAAACACCATCCCCCAGGCTTTCTCTCTCTGAAATAAATTAAAAATAATAATTGCCATTTTGGACATAGGACCATATCACTTGGATTGTCCAGTCTTATTTATAAGGATTAAAACTAGAATTAACTTGTTAATAAACATGTGGGAATATACCGAGGGAATGGTTTCAGTTACATGATTTGGTTTATTTTGCTAGTTATAATTTGAGTTTCTGGATGAATTTTCTGATAAAATCATACTTCAGTGAAGTAGTTCTTAGATTTTTAGATGAGAAATTCATGTATCTCTCCCTCCCACCACCTATTTGAACTCACAAGAACTCACAAGTATTTCTGGAGGTGGATCGTGTTTTATAACATGACTGCAATACAAAATCACCAAGGAAAGGTACCTGTAAGTTAATCCATATCAACAAGATTCAGTTTTTTGTCCAACGCCAAGAGAGAAAAAAAATAAACACAGCTTAAGAGCACAATCAAATTTGTTTCAGGAAACAATATAGAATTTAGTTCTGTCTTGATAACAGCTTTATACAATGATAGGCTTGGGGTACAGAGATGTGTTTCCTTAGCTGATACCCTTCTTTAATTTTGTAGGTATGCTTGGACTATCGCCCAGTGTAGGATCTGTGCAAGCCATATTGGATGGAAATTTACGGCCACCAAAAAAGACATGTCACCTCAAAAATTTTGGGGTTTGACTCGATCTGCTCTGCTGCCCACTATCCCAGACACTGAAGATGAGATAAGTCCCGACAAAGTAATACTTTGCTTATAAACAAATGCAGTAGAGATAAAGTTAATATTTATTAAGTTGGTCTTGTAAAATCAGATCTGCTTTGGAAATTACTGCATTTGATGCATACCCAAGTAAAAAGCAACATTACATGGAAGGTTGCAGTTTCTTAGTCAAAAGGTATTTGAAGTTTTAAATTAAAATATACTATTGGAAGGATGAAAAACAGTTTAGAAAACTTGGTTTTTAGGAATATCTACCTTAGTATCATTATAGTCTGGCCTGCTAGGACACGAAGACCTCTCTGAAAGGGGAGGAGATGGGTTTCCTGCACAAACTTACTTGTAATTCCTCTAACACGAGGTTAGCCACTTGCTCATGATACATGGAACCAACAGCAAGTTCTTACCTGTGCTCTGACAGAAGTTCCCAAAGCTAGGGTGCCAAATACAAGGTCCTTTAATTTTCTTGAGTTTCTCTCATACTGATTTGTAAATTTTGAAAATATTAAAGAGTTAAAATATACAGTTTGAGCCCCAAAATAGTGTTCATTTCCTTACGCATTTGTTAGTGAGAAATATAACTTATTCGCTCAGTGTTTGTCTGAACAACCTGGTTATTCTGTTCCAAATTCCAATTTGAACCTAAATTAATACGGAACAGAGATATTTATTAGAACACACCTCCCTTCTGTCTGGTTAAAAGTAACTGTATTTTGTAAGCACCTCAGTTCCATGTAAATTGAAAATCTGTAAGTAAAATTTAAGAGCAAACAATATTACACCATCTTTGTTTAAATAATGTAAAATATTTACTCACAAGCTGCTTAATTGAAGCATTAAGATGAAGTTTTAGATAGACTGATTAGCCACCTACCTCTTCGCTTCTATGTTCAAGTGTTGATTAGAACCTTTCACATTTGTGTAAATATGACAACTTCACTGCTTTACATAATTGGGGAAAGTTCAGCTAATGGGGAGAAATGTATGAGGCCAAAAACAGACTGTTAAATCTGTTTTAATTAATATTTTCTTTTACCAAATGTGCAATGGTTATGATTGCCTAAACTAAAATGCTCAACTGAAGATCTCATGTTGTGTATTTATGTACAGGAGGTAAGTGAAAAGCATCTCAAGAACGCTGTCCATTCTGTAGGACATCCCCAAGCTGTAGGGGTTTTGTAGTACTAACAACCTTGGGTTTATAGGACTGTAACCAGTTGTTCAGACAGCCTTACCCTATGCCAGCAGCACAGTCACAGAGAGTGCACACTACTTTTACTTTTGCCACCTGAAGGGTGTAGTCTCACAGTGTTCTATTTTGTTTACTAACACTGGCCAATAAAATTTTCAGATACATAAAAGAAGTGCATTTAACACTATTTTAAACTGGTTTTGTAAGTAACAAAATAAGACCTCTGAAATACCTCTCTACATACTTCTATTTAGAAATACAGATTCTCTGATTTTAGTGAGATTTAAATTACTAACTTCTCCCCACAAGGGACAGAGATGCTAGGACTGGCTACACAAAAAGTAAAATCAATTATAAAATGTCAGAGTGTAACAGCTGAAACAATACTTGGCACTGTACACCCCTTTACCTACTGAAAGCATTTGGGGCTCAAGCCTTTAAAAACCATACATACAGGTCTGGTCATGGATGTTTTAATGTAGGCCATATCTTTTTAATTTGTGAAAAAAATAAATGACTGAGGGTACAGGAGTACTGTTGCCGTCTATAAACCTGATGTATACTGTCATATACCACATAAACACATTTATCTTCCAATTCCAAAGGGAATGTTTATTAAAATAAAAGGCTCAAGTGTAACTCAAGCCAGTCTTTCTCAGGCCTGGTATGCATAAAGAAATCGTTGTTAACAAAGGACGATATGGACTACATACTAAAACGTAGAGACTGCTAGAACAAGTTTTGGGTGTATGAATGCCAGCCACCAGGGACATACCTGGTCTTTATAATTTTATACAGAATATTTTATTAGCTACTTTCAACACAATTTTATTTTGAAATTCAAGTAAGAGTTGACACTTAAAGACAATGGTAAAATAATGTAGTTAATTCAACTGCAAACATCAAACACTTCTTTCTTAAAGACAGCACTTTTTAAGATCAGTAATGCGTTACCCTGGGGTGGGGGAGGGGGACGCCTAGACAGATGAAGATAGGGGAAGCCAACTGTACTATCACAGCAGGAGTTATTCCGAAAAAATCACAAGGTTCATGGATATAAATGAGATTAAGAGGAGGTAGACTTGAGTTTACTGCCTGAAACTCACCACAGAAGACCTCTGTTGATCTGAAAAAGTCCTCTAAGCTGGTCTAAGCTGGCTTTCTTTCGCCTACATATTCAAGTCTCTTAAATCTCACTGAGAGGGAGAGAAGAAAATCTAACCTTACCCCAAATTTTCTGCTATTGAGTGCCAGCTCTCATCAATTTTCACTCTTCTTTATGTAACTTAGGAGTTCGTCTTTCTCCATTTGGTAGCCGCTTTTTTTCCACTGTTCTCGCAACTGCTGCAGCAGAGCCCCAATTTCTTTTCCTGAAGAAATGCCCACTTTTCTGATGTCATGCCCACTTACAGGAAACGGAGGAACGCACCACTGCTGCATCTGCTGCAGAAGACCGTGCTCTCCCTGGTACTTCAGGAGCTCATATACGCGGGTGGTTGCATCAGATTCCCTAGCCTAAAAGCCAAAATCAGACATTTACTTCCAGCACACGTTAGAATGCTTGCTATTGATCCTACCCTAAAATGCAAATAAATAACAGAGGTGAAATTTTTCATTTACAGTAAATGAAATCCACAGAACACACTGTGGGTCTTAGTGTTAATAAATTAGTTCTGACCAAGCCTGTATATACTTACGTCTATAATGTAGTCTTGATAGGGTTTCAGTGGCTCTGAACTATCTGTTGCTTTAACTAAATCTTTCCTGTTTTTAACTATGAATATGCCAAGGTTCTTCTCTTCTTTTGAAATCTTCAACCTCAAATCCAGTTTTGTGACATCATCCTGTACTTTGAATAATGAGGCCAAGAGAGTCATTGGCTTTGGTGAAAAACCATCAACATTTTTACTAACTTTGTTAAATTCTTCCAAACTTGCATTAGTAGGTAAGCCTGGAAGGACAAAAAAATTTTTCAACAATTTTTACTTTTTATAGTGAGTAAATTTAATAAAACACACTCATATCCTCAACCAACCATGGTTACAGTATAGAAAATGCCCAGTCACTAGAACTCACTGGTTCAGTCTGATGCTCCATCTTAAAGGTTAACCACTGATAAACACTGCTGCTATTCCCTCCCATAATGTCCCCCAAACCTAAGGGAGTCCTAACACATGAGTTTCCATTAATGAACTACATCTGGAGGTCCGGAGGCCATGGCGGTAGTGTCAGACTTGCAAGACTTCATGACTGCCCACTGACCTACTCTCACAGACCATCCACCCACCCCTACTACCATTCAAAAACTGTATTTGACATACCCCCAAGTTTCCTGAAGTGTGCTTCAGCATAGATCATTGTTCTTTCTGAATATATTTATTAATTTCTATGTATGTCACTCTTTAAGTGCTCTACATGTATTAACTCACTGACTCTTTCATCCCTTCTCTTAGATGCTGTTACCTTCACATCCCTTTTTTAGATTCAGCAACTAATAATCGAGGAACTAATCCAAACCACAGAGCTGATATGTGGCAAAGCTCATTCAAACCCAGGTCTGACACCGAAGGCCACTGTGTCCCACCCCTGACCCCAAAGTTTATCTTATTTTAAAATACTGCATTTCTCCTTTTGTATTAGTCAAACATTTTTCCCTATGAAATTTTAAACCAGATGTTTCACTGTGAAAAACTCAAATACTTTATAACTTGGCTCTCACCTATGTAAGGAGCCACATCAAGGTCATAGATGAGGTGAATCAAATGATTTACATGGTTACCAATAAGAATTTTTTTCAGTTCAACCCAAATCCTCTCTCCTGATATTCCAGCCAAGCCTTTTGCATTTTCTGCAATTGCTTCCAAAGTCTCAGGATCATGGTCACCAGGTTTGTCTACAATTCTCCCGTAAAACCTGCAAAACAAAATTCTCATGCTATGTTACCTCTATGTTGGCATATCACCAGAAAAATCTCATTTTGCATTTTACTGGTACTATTCTATACATCTAATATGAGACAACACAGATGATTTAGGTTTAAGAGGGGCTTTAGACATCTGTTTAATTCCTTACCTTCTTTTTGCTCCCAGATGACAAAATCTGAGAGCCAATAAAATTTAAACTAGCATGAACTAGAACCCTCTGCTCACTTTCATTTCCAAATCAGTGACTGAGACATTTAGAATGGCCATCAAATGTACTTCCTAAAACTGGTACCCTTACTGGAGGAATAATGCAGAACATTCTTGGAAAGCCTGGAATGCCATCAATGGAACAGTGTGTACAAAGCTTACTTGTCTGTGCCCATCAATACTTTGAAGAGTTTCAAGTAGGACTGATCTAGCTGCACAGAGTGGAGTGTATTTCTAGCAATCTCAGAACTGGAAGCCTTAACATATGCCTGTACTAACACTCATCTTTAAAATCCAGTTCGTTAATAATGTAGATTAAATGACAGTAACTATGGATGTCAGTCTGTGTTCTGTTACCTGCAAGAGTGTTACAAGTACTCAAATTTAAGGGAACAGCACTGGGGTGCCTGGGTGGCTCGGTCGGTTAACCATCTGCTTCTGGATCAGGCCATGATCCCAGGGTCCTGGGATGGAGCCCCAAGTCAGACGCCCTGCTCAGCAGAGGAGTCTGCTTCTCTCTCTCCCTCTTGCTCCAATAAATAAAATTAAATAAACAAATAAAGGACAAGCATTTACTGACAAAATATGTAGGCTCCATTACAAAATATTCTAAATATGATTCCAACCAATGAAAAAAATTAGGCATAAACTAGCCAGTCAGAATCATTTTTAAAAAGGGTTACAGCTCAGAGTTAAAAAATCAGTGCTACCCACAACACCATCCAAATTCATTTCATGCTTTTAGCAAGCTCATCTAAAACTATAAGCCATATAAAGGCAAAGGCACTCATTCCTCCATATTCCAAGCACCCAGCAAGTGGCTGGCCTATGGTAAACACTCACTTATCTAAGTAATGAATGATCAGTGCAGGAAAAAAAAATGGACATTTAAAAATGATTTAAAACTGAATTTTATACAAGACCATCACAGAATGGAGTATCTGTGTTTTGGGGGAAAAAATAATAGGAAGTATCTAAGTACTATCTCACAGTTAGGTCACACTTTACTAATCAGTCTATCAGAGACAGACATTTGGGATGTCTCCATGTTGTTGACCTGCACATTTCACATGATTGGAATTGTGCTCTGGGATATTAAAATCTGTATTATTAAAGTATTTTTTAAAAATTCTTACCGGAAATATCTTAAAATTCGAAGATAATCTTCTTGTATCCTCTGTTTAGCATGTCCAACAAATCTAACTTTCTTATTTTTTAAATCTTCATAACCACTGAAGTAGTCAAATAAGGTACCATCAAAACCTATTCATTAAAAAAAAAGGGGAGAGATCACTGTTAGCAAATAGGAACTGGAAAATAAAATTCTCTTTTAAAAACTATTACAAACAGTAAAAACTAAGTGAAGAGTTACAAAGTTAAAATACAGACATGAACACCATTCATAAATACCCACTATCAAATGAAGACATAATGGAATAAAAGGCTGTATTCACAACAGCAATTAAAAAGGTAATACCCAGAAGTGAAATGAATTGGTGTGGAGACACCAAACAAGCTGATTTTCAAGTTAGTATGGAAAAATAAACAAGAAGAGCCAAATAATCTGGAAAAAAAATAAACAGCAAAAAGAATCTGGAAGAACTAAACAATAAACCATGGGGGGGGGGGGGAATTTATGATCTTAGAATGGGGAAAACCTTTCAAAATATAGAGTTAATTCTTAAACACAGGTTTGCACTCTATGGGCTCACTGAGAGGTAAATTTCTTTTTTCCTAAAGATTATATTTATTTATTGGAGAGAGCAAGATGAGCACAATGGGCAGGACTGGGGGGCTGAGGGGTGTTGTGGGGAGAAGCAGGCTTCCTGCTGAGCAGGAAGCCTAATTCAGGGCTTGAGCCCAGGATGCTGGGATCATGACCTGAGCTAAAGACAGACACATTTAACCAACTGAGCCACCCAGGTGCGCACGAGCACACACACACGTGTGTGTGTTTTTTGTTTTTTGTTTTAACAAGACTATAGACATTTTTTCTCTTAATTTTTCCTAACATTTTGTCTAGATTGCTTTATAGTAAGAAAGCAGTGTATAATACATACAACACACAAAGTTTGTATTAATCAATTGTTTCTGTTATCAGTAAAGCTTCCTACCAATAGTAGGCTATTAGTAATTAAGTGGGGGGGGAGTCAAAAATTAATATGCAGATTTTAGTCTACTTGGGGGTTTACCAAGAAAACACACACACACACAAAACACACCAGAACCTTAAAAAAAACAATCCACCCACCTAAACATCAAGTATGTCTGCATGGCAAGAACCACCATAATGAAAAGCATAAAATAACTGACATACTGAGAAAAATATTTAAGTCAATATAGAATCAAATACCTAACTTCCCTAATACACAAAAAGCTCTTATAAACAAAAATACCATA